GCCCAGCTTGACGTGCGCATCTCCATGGCGCAGGGAAAAAACGGCACGGGCACGATAGCGGAGGCGGAGCTGGACCCAGACTTGCCCCGCTTCTTGCAGAGAGACCCGCGCTGGCAGAACTTGGCCGAGGAGCGCCTGGACACGGGAGCAACCGTCTCCAAATGCGTCCGAGGCGACGCAGAGGTCGCAGGCATCGTGGACGACGAAAGGCCCCCGAAGTGCCGCAGCCTCAACAAGGACGGGAATTTGCAGATCATCCCCTCGCCCCACATGGCCGCCTTCGTGCGAGCGCTGCGGAAGAAGATGCGCCCGCGGCTGCAACAGCTGGGAGACAAAATGCGCGAGGCTGTCAAAGCCGACGGCATGCCACCTGCCATCGTCGAGCAGAACGGAAAGCCCATCATGACAGAGCACTTCGCCGACCACGCGTTCGCGCACGCATCGATCCAGCTCATGCAGCCAGGCGCGCGGGACGACGGTTGGCACACAGATGGCGGATGCTCCCCGTTGCACGCGGCCGTGGCGATTTTCGGGACGCGCTCCGTGCAAGTGAGGACCCCAGGGATCCTGGGAGCACATGATGGGGCGTCACCCTCGAGCACAGCCTCCTGCGGAAGGGTCGTCACCCTCGAGCAAAAGCCTGGGTCCTTCTACATGGGCACCCTGTCCTCCCTCGAACACAACGTGAACCACCACGCCTCCGCGGACTGCCAGGGCTGTTTCGCGACCCACCGCGAGCTGCAACAGTGCGTAGACGACAGCAGGCTGCAGATCGCCGTCATGATCCGCTCCGACGTCTTCCGGGAGTTCAGGGCGCGCAGGATCGACGCCACGCCTGGCCCGAAGGAGTTCTTCAACGTCGTGAACCACGTCGTGGCCGATCACCTGGCACGGGTCCCCGTGGCGCTGCCCGACCTCACGGAGGTGCTTGACGAAATGCGGCGGCCCGCTTCCACGGAGGCTGTGGAGCTTTCCGGTTAGTGCTCAGCACGGCCCGCGCAGTCCGGAAGAAGGTTATTGTCATTCTCATCATCATCAGCATCATCATCGTCATCGCCATCAGCATCGCAATCATCGGCTTCATCATCATCGTCACCATCATCAGCATCAACATGTTCACGCCGCCATCATCGTCATGCGGGTCTTGATTTAATCATCATCATCATCATCACTACATGATGATGGCGATGACGAGGAGATGATGATGGATATTATGGCGATGACGATGGTGAGGAGATGGTGGCGATGATGGCGATGACGCGGACGATGATGAATATCATGACGACGATGATGACGATGATGATGACGATGATGCAAAAACAGGTTGATTCGGTTGAGTCCGAAAGCCCCGCCCTGAATCAAACCAGTCGTTGGTGTGAGTTGAACGCTGGTCACTGCGGGCTACCTCCTCTCGATTCCCCACTGGGACGTCGTCTGTCCACGATGCTCGGGGTGGTATCGCGCCCTCAGCCTCAACCGCCTTTCGATTCCCATCTGGGACGTCTTCGTCTGTCGACGACGCGTGCCGCTATGCTCCGATGTGTCGTTGTGCGTGGCAGGATCCTCTGGCACGAACTGCTCACTATTGGGGGGCCTGTGCCAGGATGGGGGTTGTGTCCATGCCCTGCTGTGAGAAGCCGATAACCGCAAGATCAGGTAAGTAGAAGGAGGGGGGGGGTCAGCGATGTGCGTTCGCATGGGGCAGGTCGAGTCCTCTGTGGTTGCTCCTTCCGCCTGGGCCTGTGGGGGGTCTTCTGTCACCACAAGCGGGGGGACTGTGTTGCTTCCCTTTCTGGATACAGCTCGATATTCGTTTGGTAATCCTGCCACAACCGCCCCGCGGACACGTCCCCGGGCCTCGTTTCCAGCCGCCGGGGACGGTGTGAGAGTGCCCTGCGCAATAGGAGGAGGAGGAGGAGGAGGAGGAGGAGGAGGAGGAGGAGGAGGAGGAGGAGGAGGAGGAGGAGGAGAAGAGGAGGAGGAGGAGGAGGAGGAGGAGGAGGAGGAGGAGGAGGAGGAGGAGGAGGAGGAGGAGGAGAGGAGGAGGCGCAGCCGATAACCGCAAGATCAGGTAAATTGACGGAGGAGAGGGGGGGGTCGGCGATGTGTGCTTGCATGGGCGAGGTCGAGTCATCTGGGTCGTGGTCGCGGTCGTCTTCGTAGCCGTCGTGGTCGTGGTCGTCGTCGACGCGGTTGTGGGCGTGGACTTCGGCGAGGCCGAGCGAGTCCCAGTAGCCGACGGGCGCCTGCGCACGCAGCTCGCTGTCGACGGCGCGCAGCGGCGAGTCCGCGTAGGTCACCCCGTCGCCCCAGGCGGAGCCCGCGCGGTTGACCTGGAAGAACATCCCGATGGCGGCCGCCCTGGTCAGGCGGCCTTCGGCCAGCTCCGCGCTCAGGGGCCACTTGTTCTTCCCCGGGTCCTCGACGCCGCCCCCCTTGAACCCGCCGAGGGCCCCGAAGTACGACTTGCCGAAGCCCGCCTCGGTTCTGCTGAACTTGCCAAGAGGATCCGCTGGGTCATGCCTGGCCGCGTGGAGCTCGAGGGAGCCGTACAACAGGAACATTTGCCCCCAGTCGGCGCCAGACACCTTGCCCGGAGCGCTCGGGCCTTTCGGAGGACTCGCAAGGGCAGGCCCGTCGAGGACGACACCTCCGGCCACAGGAAGAAATCCTGCACGATGTACCCTATGGCGGCCCACATGGTGAAGCGGCCGTGCTTGACCGCGGTGCCCCTTCTCCTGTGGAGGACGTCCGCGCCGACGTCCTTCGCAAGGCCGAGCGGGTCCCAGTAGCCGACGGGCGCCTGCAGGTCCCACTCGCTCTCGAAGGCGCGCAGCGGCGAATCCGTGTAGGTCGCCCAGGCGCCCCGGGCGGAGCCCATGAGTCCGTCCTGGAGGAACATCCCGATGATGACCATCATGGCCAGGCGGCCGTTGGCCAGCTCCGCGTTCAGGGGCCGCTTCATCTCGTCATCGTGGTCGTGGTCGTCGTCGTCGTCGCCGTCGTCGAGGCGACGGCGACGGCGTCCGTGGAGGTCGTCGTCGTCGGCGTCGGCGTCGTGGTGGTCGTGGTCGTCGTCGTCGGCGTCGTCGTCGAGGTGACGGCGCCTCCTGAAGGCAGCGGCGTCGCCGCCCTTCGTGAAGCCAGCGGGGTCCCAGAAGTCGGTACTTGTAGATGCAATGCGGCCACGGCGCGCAAGGCAAACTCCCATGAGCATCCAAAGAACAGGCCATAGCAACATGCTGTTGATGAACACTCATGGGGGGGTCCTGCTCCACGCACTTCCGGGGTGGGCAGTGCATGCATATTTACATAGCGTCGTCTCCTGCAGCTGCGTGCCGCCCTTGACAGCCACCCAAGGCAAAGACCGGCAACACACGCAACTACGATAAATGATTTCCAAGCCTTGCCTTCCACGCGGCACATGCCAGAGCGCACAGACTCACAGCACCCGAAAGGAATAAATCAATGTCCGTCAGCGCGAAGGCCTTGCCAGCGTGCTGATGATACCGCCTACGCCCGTGTGGGGCTACAAGGCCGGCGGCAGACATCCCATGCGCATAACACGTCCCAAGAAGAACACGGCCGAACTTCACGATATCGCGATGCAAGATAAGACTGCTCAAATTGAAGGTGACCGGCTTCACTGCAGACAACAACGTTGAGAACCTCGACCAGCACGACGACAATAGAGCATCGCACGTCCACTCCGCCCATGCAAGAGAAAAATGATTGAATTCGCGCTGCACTGTATGTAGCAGCTGACCGTAAGCCACCTGGGCGTGCTGTAAGATCCAACCCAATATAGGAATCTGTATTGACCCACGATCTGAGCTGAGGTCTTCTGCCCCAAAAGCGTTCCATCTGAAGACATTATGTCATGAATTTCGCGGGCCCCAAAGGCCGGCGTAGCTTGCGTCGCACGGACAATCTTGTGAGCCATCAGGCTCGGGAAGCACCGTCAAGCTCCCGCAGTTGCTCTCACCCCGCCCATGCTTCCCGGCAACTGCGGCATTAGCCGGCGGGAGCCAGCGGGGTCCCAGAAGTCCACTGACGCCTGCGCGCCCAGCTCGCACTCGAAGGTGCGCGGCGGGGAGACCATGATCGGCGTCCAGTCGTCCCACGCACATCCCGTTGATCGACATCATCGCCAGCCTTCCGTTCGCGGTCACGGCGTTCAGCTCGCCGCCGTGCGCGCAGTCGCCGGGAGCCGCCGCCACCGCGCCAGCGGCCTCGCCGCGGACGGCCGCGGGGGCGGCCGCGGCGGAACAGGCCGCGGCGGGGCCAGAGGCCGCGGGGGCGGCCGCGGCGGGACCAGCGGCCGCGGCGGCCACTGCCGCGGCGGGCCCGAGGGCGGCAGCGCGGGCCACGGCGGCGGCGGCGGCGCGGCAGCGGCGCCGCCGGCCACGCCGAGGCAGCCAGGGGCCGCGGCAGCCCGCGGCGCCAGCCCCGGGGGCGGCGCCGCGTGGCGGCAGGCGGCCGCGCGCCGCTGGCGGCGGTGGGCGGCGGGCGACTCCGCCGGGGGCATGGCCCGGCGGGCGGGGGGGGAGAGGGAGGGGCGACCTCCGTCCCCACCCCCGCAGGCGGGGAGGCCGGAGGCCAGGGGCGGGCCCCCGGCCGCGGCCGCGCAGGCAGGCTTGGCCACCTCGAGCCAGAGCGGCCTTGAGCCAGGCTACGGGCGCTGGGACTTGTTTCCTCACTTCCTTCCCTGGGTTTCTTGTTTTTGCTTGCCTTCTTTATTGAAATCCTCAGGTTGCTTGGTCTTGTTTCCTTACTGCGTTCCCTGGGTTGTTTGGTCTCCTTTCCATACTGGCGGACCGAAGGGGAGAGAAGGAGAGGCAGCAGGAAGAGCAGTGGGCATAGGAGCAGGCCTTCGAGGAGAAGAACGGCGACACAAGGAGGCTCTGGAGGACTCAGAGGGGAGAGGAAGACGACGACTGGGCCAGGGGTGCGAAATTTGCTGCACGCAGCTGGGTTCGGCTCTGGCGCTGCAGCGCCAGGACGACGTTGTGGTCAAGACCTGCGAGGCCAGCGGGCGCCAGGGGCTCGCCACCGCCGCCGCCGCCCCCGTCGTCGCCGCCGACGCCGTCGTCGGCGTCGTCGGCAAGTGTCGCGCCGCCGTTGTCGTCGCTCTGGTGGTTCAAAGATGGGGTCCTGAAGGATGGGGGCCGAATGGCAGGAAGCAGTTCACGGGTGGACTTAATTACGTTATTTTAGGTACTTTTTTGAACCACCGATCGCTGTCGCCGTCGTCGCCATTTTCATCGCTCGCGTCGCCGCCATCGTCATCGCCGTCGCGGGCGTGGCATTCGCCGTCGTCGTCGTCGTCGCCGCCGCCGCCGCCGCCGTCGTCGTCGTCGTCGCCGCCGTCGTCGTCGTCGTCGTACCGTCGCCGTCGCCGTTGTCGTCGCCGTCGCTATCGTCAGCGCCCGCCGGCGTCGCCGGCGCTGTGCCGCCCTCGGCGCTGGTCACGGCGTGGGTCGTTCTCGTTTTGAAAGAGGCGGAGATCTGCCTGCGCCCGCCCCCGAGAGTTGTGGGGCGCGCGCATGGGGGGGCGATAACTGGGGGGAGCAGCGAGAGCTGCAGAAAAGTAGCCCTTCCCTCCACCTCCACCCTCCATCATACCTTCCGGCCTCCGCAGAAGGTGCGAGAGAATTCCTCGAATCCCACGGGGCCTCTGACGGAATTCGAGGAACCCCACACAGATCATATCCAAAAATTGGCGGAATACGGTAGAGCGGAAAGTCCGGAAGAACGAGGGAGAGGATTTACGGCCCGAGTAGTGCATTTTCTTGCCCCCCATGGATCTCGGGACGATCAACATGGGTACGGAAACGATGGGTACGATGCCCAACAGCAGTTCTTCTTCATTCTGAATTGGACTCGTTGCCCGCGCAGTGTACCCATTTTGCCGCACCCATTTCGGGCGTCCATATGATCGCCCCCCCCCCCCCCCATGAAGCGACGCCCACGTGAGGCCGGGGACGTGTTCGGGGAGCTGGCGCTGCTGTACAACTGCCCGCGCGCGGCCACGGTCAGGAGCAAGGAGCCCCCCCCTGGCTCGAGGCTGGAAGTTCGAGGTTTTCTCGGGCCTCCACGTTTACGGGGGGGGAGAGGCACGTGGGGTTCGAGGACCGAGGTTCGAGGTTCGATGTTCGAGGTTCGTTTCGAGGTTCGAGGATTGAGGTTTCGAGGTTTCGAGGTTCCGAGGCTCGAGGATCGAGGATCGAGGCTTGAGGTTTGAGGATCGAGGTTCGCTTCCTGGCGCTCTTGGATCGTCCTGGGGCGCCCTCGTGGCCACGGATGGATCCGCCTCGGAGTTTTGGTCAGAGGGCGCCTCGATGAGGTCCAGAGATAAAGTTGTCCCCCCTGATCAACGGGGAAAGGCCTCGAGGTTCGAGTTTTCGGACCTGTTCGTCTGTGCCCGGAGGTTTTCCAGCCTCGGGCTGCCTTTCAGCGTTTGCGTCTCGCTGGGAGCGTTCCTGGGTACCCAGACCGTCCCCAACGGCTGTGGAGACCCACGTTGTGACCCGGAAGCCAGACGGCGAGGATCATTGAGAGGGATAAGCTCAGGGGGGTCGAAAGGACCCCCGATCGCTCATGGATCGCCGACAGGGGCCCGATGGCCCACCACGTCGGCCTCTCGAAGGATCGAAGGATTCGCTATCGATGGCCTATCGCCGACCTATCGGCAATGTATCGCCGTCGAGCCTCCGTTTCCTTCTCCTTTTCTTGCGTTTTGTCAGACAAGGCCTCGCCCTCTACAAGTGCCCGCGGGCTGCGACGTTCAAGAGCAAGGCGTCCCCACTCCCCCCTCCAACGGCTCAGAATTGGGCTTCCCTCTCCTCAAAGGCCTTGAGCGAATTGATTGTTTCAATCCTGATGTGCTTTGTTGCTCGGTTTCAGCCTGCGGGGTTCATCAATAAGTGAGCTGTACGCGGAGTTGCTGCCAGAGATGGGGTCCAGGCCAGTTGGCGCCCGCGGATTGGAATAACCGCATCTGTCGGATCGTCGGATGCCTGAGCCGTTCCTCGTCAGTCTTGCAGTGTGCTTGCCGTTTTGGGCATACCTCCATGGGCCATGGGGCACTGAGCCTTCGGCGACGGGTCTCGTGCTCTCGACCCGCCCCTCATGGGTGACGTTGGCGGGGGGGACATGCTGACGGGGGCACGCATCGAACCCCCGGCGCCCACTCATCGCCGATGGGGGGCCGGATCGCCCACCCCATCCAGGAACGGTCGGGGTTCGCCATCGGTGGCCAGTCGCCGATCCACCTGCGATGGTCCTCCGACTTCAGGGCGACGTCTTCTCCCCCGAGCCAGCCCCCCTCCGATCGGTCGCCCCTCACACGATGACCATGACCAAGGTGTCGCAGGATCTCGTCGGCGCCGATCTTGATAATGGTCCATGCCAGCCGTCGCCGACTCCAGGACGATCCACGGGTTCACGCAGCCCACGATTCGCGAGGACCGAGACCGGCACCGACGTTTCCCAGATGAGTTCCGAGTAGATGGGGTCGGGCTGCAGGACCGCGCCGCATCGCCGACGCGCTGGCGATACGAAGCTCGGCGGTCTCCACGCTGACGGCGCCGATCCATCGACGACGTCGCCGATGCATCGGCGGTGAGGCTCGTTCCCCTCAGTCCCTTCTGCTCGGGCCCCAGCTGGGAGGCCTCCACAACAATCAAGCTCGAGCCTGTCGTTCAGGGGGGACGCTGGCCAGGGCTCTGCGAGTCCCTCCCCCTCCTCGCCAAACAGTTGCGCCGGAAAAACCGAGGCCGAAATCGAGGCAAGCACCAGGGCCGAGCAGGATCGGTCCGCCCGAGGCTCCTCGGGGCACGCCCGAGGAGCATCGCCCCCCCCCTCCCGATGCCGCAGCGAGAGGGCCTCGACGGCCGAGATCGGCAGGAGAGGCGCCGGGGCGGAACCGAACCGGAGCCTTCAGCCCGAAACTTCGGACCACGCCCTGGGAGGAGAAGGCGGAGGAGGAGGAGGAGGAGGAGGAGGAGGAAGGAAGGAAGGGAGGAAGGGAGGGAGGGAGGGAGGGAGGGAAAATAGAGGAGTGAGGAGGGAGGGAGAAGGGAGAAGAAGGGAGAAGGGAGAAGGGAGGAGGAGGAGGAGGAGGAGAGGAGGAGGAGGAGGAGGAGGAGGAGGAGGGGGAGGAGGAGAGGAGGAGGAGGAGGAGGTGGAGGAGGAGGAGGAGGAGAGGAGGAGGAGGAGGAGGAAGAAGAAGAAAAAAATAATCACCTCATGAAGCAATTAAGAACCCCCCCCCCTCCGGCGAAACGATATCCCCCCCGCACCTGGAAGCGTTAACTCCGGCACCTGCGGCTAGGAGGAGGAGGAGGAGGAAGCACATCGCCTGAGACATCCTCGCATTTCTTAATAGAATTAGCCAAATCGCTTGAGACAACCTCACATTTCTAATAGACTTGGCCAAATCCCCTAAGACATCCTCTTATTTCAAATCGCCTGAGACATCCTCCCATTTCGTACGAGAATTGGCGAAATCGCTTGAGACTTCCTCACATTTCTTACGACAATTTGCCAAATCGCTTGAGAAATCCTCACATATCTTAATACAATTGCCCAAATCGCCTGAGACATCAACGCATTTCTTAATAGGATTGGCCAAATCGCTTGAGACATCCTCGCATTTCCAAATAGAGCGTGCCAAATTGCTTGAGACACCTTCACATTTCTTAATCGAATTCACCAAATCGCCTGAGACGTTCTCACATGTCTTCATAGAAATTGCTAAATCGCTTCAGACATCCTCACATGTCTTAGTAGAATTGGCAAAATTGCTTGAGACATCCTCATATGTCTAAATAGAAGTGTCTAAATCGCTTGAGGCATCCTCACATTTCTTACTTGAATTTGCAAACTCGCCTGAGAAATCCTTACATTTCTTATTAGAATTAATTAAATCGCCTGAGACATCCTCACATTTCTTAGCAGAATTTGCCACATCGCGTGAGACATCCTCACATTGCTTAATCCTTCTCCTCCTCCTCCTTCCCCTTCTCCCTCCTTCCCCCCCAGCTCGCCTTTTCACAGTCCTGGCAATATTAGGGCAACCTTTCTGTGCTCAGGAGAGTTCCTGCCTGTGCCTGCCGCCCTTTCAGAGCTCAAGCGTTCAGTTTTCAGATAGGATTGGCCAAATCGATTGAGACGTCCTCACATTTCCAAATAGAGCTTGCCAAATTGCCTGAGACATCCTCGCAATTCCTAACAGACTTGGCCAAATCGCCTGAGACATCCTTACATTTCGTATTAGAATTGGCCACATCGCGTGAGACATAATCGCAGTTCTTATCAGCATTGGCCAAATCGCCTGAGACATCCTTACATTTCTGAATAGAATTGGCAAACTTACATCCGACATTGTCATATTTCTGAATAGAATTTACCAAATCGGCTGGGACATCCTCACATTTCTTAGCCGAAGTAGCCAAATGGCATGAGACATCTTCATACTTCTAAATAGAATTGGCCAACTCGCCTGAGCCATCCTCACATTTCTTTGTAGAATCGGCCAAATCGCTTGAGAGGCCCCTACATTTCTCAATCGAATTAACTAGCCAAATCGCCTGGGACATCCTCACATTTCTTAATAGACTTGGCCAAATCGCTTCAGGCATCCTCACATTTCTTAATAGAATTGGTCACATCGCTTGGGAGATCCACGCAGTTTTATGAGCATTTGCCAAATCGCCTGTGACATCTTCGCAATTCTTAAGAAAATTGGCCTGCTCGTCTACTCGTACTCGTACACCTATTCGAATTCTTACTCCTACTCCTACTCCTGTACTCCAACTCCTACTCCTACTCCTACTCCAACTCCTCCTCCCTCTCCTCCTACTCCTACTCCAACTATTACTTCTACTAAGGGGGCCTCACGACTCCTGCGCGGCCCAGGGAGCCTCATAATAATCCAAGATGGCCGAGAGGTTCCAGAAGAATCCAAGACGGTCCAAGACGTATCGCAAGGGGTTCTCATAGCAGGGCCCTGGAGATGCCTTCAGCCAATGGCCCCTCGCCTTCCCTCAGTGGCCAGGGCCTCTCAGGGCCCAGGGAGCTCTTATTCTCAGAGGCCTTCGGCCGATCCGCCTGACCTCTTCCCCCATCGGGGCCCAGGGCCTCTCAGGGCCCAGTCAGCTCTTATTCTCAGATGCCTTCGGAGGCAGTAGTCCAGGTATTGGCAGGAGTCCATGTACTCAGAACGAAGCAGTGGCGCCTTATATTTTTTGTGGAATTGGCCACGTCGCCTAAGACATCCTCGCACTTCTTAGTAGAATTGACAAACTCGCCTGAGACATCTTCGCACTTCTTAGTACAATTTGCCAATTCGCCTGAAACATCAGTTGTTCCTTGGACCTCTCAGCCATGTCATGTTTGTCAGGAGTAACTATCTACCACTGGTGTCTTCCGACGATTACGGCGACGACGAGCACGACTTGGCTGTCGCACGGATATTTTGTTTGGCCGGGTGCTAGGACAAACGCCAAGGTGCGGGGTGGGGGCGATACCGTCGGGTGGACCACCCCTTACGACGGCCGGAAAAAAAAAACGCATTTATTTGAAGGATTTTCATACACACCTCATCGGAAAAAACAAGCGGGTCATAACAAAGAGTAGAGAAGAAATATAAGGAAATCGCTTGAAACATCCTCACACGTCTGAGTAAAATGACACAAATCGCCTGAAACATCCTCGCATTTCTTTTGAGAATTCGCCAAATCGCTTGAGACATCCTCACATTGCTTAACCGAATTGTCCAAGTCGCCTGAGCACCGTCACATTTCTTATTAGAATTGGCCAAATCGCTGGAGACATCCGCACGCGTCTTAATAGACTTGGCCAAATCCCGTGAGACATCCTCACATTTCTTCTTAGTCTTCGTTCGTATTTTCGTTCGTTCGAGTCGTATCCTAATTCGTAGTCTGCGAGGGTCGCTGCTATGTTCGGAGTACCTCGGTTCCATGAGGATCATGAGGAAAACGATGTTTATTATCCGTATTCTTACAAACAGTCGCATTATGC